TTATTGTGATAATTCTATGCTTATGTTGTTATATCGGGTTTTTTGCTTATGTTGTGACTCTGTATGTTCTGGTGTTGTTACCTGGAAACCACCCTGAGTCCCCTCGGGGAGATAAGAGTGGTATATAAATAAAGTTGTTGTTGTTGTTGTTGCTGTTGTTATTATTATTATTATTAGATAGCTAGCCGGCCAGCAGATCCCACTGCATTTTAGGAATTTTATAATTTTCATTTTTAATAATTGTATTAATGAGATTTTTATGCACTGTTATTCTACTTACATCATTGTATTTATACTTATGCATTGTTGTCTGCATGTGGCACTTGGAGTGCTTCTGTGAGATGGTGGCAGGGTACAAATAAAGATTATTATTATTTACCTTTTAACTGTTGTAAGCTGCCCTGAGTAGCTGGGGGTATGTGGCTGTGTGCAATAAAAACAAATAGAAGGAATAAGGAAACAATTGGAAAAAGAGCAGCAGCAACTTTCTAAATGGCAGCTTTTATATTTTCCGGACCCAATTCAAGGTGCAGGTGCTTACCTACAAAGCCCTAAATGGTTACCTGCGTAACCGCATCTCCGTATATGAACCCACACGATCTCTCCGATCATCTGGTGAGGCCCTGCTCACGATCCCACCTGCGTCGCAAGCGCGATTGGTGGGGACAAGGGACAGGGCCTTCTCCGTGATGGCCTCCCGACTCTGGAACTCTCTCCCCAAGGATATCAGAGAAGCCCCAACCTTGGCAGTCTTTAGGAAGAGCTTGAAGACGTAGTTGTTCCAGTGTGCCTTCCCAGAATAGGAAACTCCTAGCATCATGTCCCAATTGCACTTTACTAGAGATTAAGATTGTCTGCACACCGCACTTATCTCCAAAAACCTATCCATCTCACCTGTCATGTTCAGCATTTTAACATTTTAATCATTACATTTGGCCCGGCCTTAGTTTTAAATGTGTCATGGTGTTATTGTCTAATGTTTATTGCTTGTTTTATGAGTTTATTTATTGTTGTATTTGTTATGCTGTTGTTTTATTGATGTGTTGGGCCTCGGCCCCTTGTAAGCTGCACCGAGTCCTTCGGGAGATGTTAGCGGGGTATAAATAAAGGTTTATTATTATTATTATTATTATTATTATTATTATTATTACTCCACCAGCCTGTTACAACTGCTCCCTCCCCCCCCCCAATGTTTTTACACATGCAGCAAAAATGTTAACTTCTACACATTTTTCAGATCTTTGATGCTGCAGTATCAACTCAATTCATTTTTTAAAACATTATTTTATTGATAATATGGTTCTAATAGAGTAGGAACAGTTGGGTTATCTCATACATTATTATCTGTGAATGTATGCTGCCATTGAGTAAGTGTATGTGGAAGAGATTAAGTACACACTTGTGAAGAACATCAGCATCAGTGTGGGCTCAGCTTGCCACCCATCACCAAAAAAACAAAAACGGTTTCTAAAAGGCAAGAGTGATAGGATTGGAAAGTGTCCAGATAGAAAAAGCCATCAGTGTCTCTGTCACCACTATAATCAGACTGGAGCAAGCGTGCGTGCACACACACACACACTCCTTGTTGAAATGGCCCTCAAACTGATGGTGTGCCAGGTAGCAAACTATAGCCCCAGTGGCAATAGCTCCTTTTTTAACTCACACATATTGAGTTATCTAGTGCCATCTAGTGAGAAAAGTGTTCTGGTGTTCTTAAGCAATAAAGGACAATTATGGAGAGAAACAGGATTAACAGTCACAGCCAAGTAGATTGTACAGCAGCGTTTCTCAACCTGGGGGTCGGGACCCCTGTGGGGGTCATGAGGGGGTGTCAGAGGGGTCGCCAAAGACCATCAGAAAACAGTATTTTTAGTTGGTCATGAGAGTTCTGTGTGGGAAGTTTGATCCAATTCTATCGTTGGTGGGGTTCAGAATGCTATTTGATTGTAAGTGGACTATGAATCCCAGAAACTACAACTCCCAAATGTCAAGGTCTATTTTCCCCAAACCCCACCAGTGTTAACATTTGAGCATTTTGAGTATTTGTGCCATGTTTCATCCAGATCCATCATTGTTTGAGTCCACAGTGCTCTCTGGATGTAGGTGAACTACAATTCCAGAACTCAGGGTCAAAGCCTTCCAAACACTTCCAGTATTTTCTATTGATTGTGGAAGTTCTGTATGTCAAATTTGGTTCAATTCCATCATTGGTGGACTTCAGAATGCTCTTTGATTGTAGGTGAACTATAAATCCCAGCAAATACAACTCCCAAATGTTAAAGTCTATTTCCCTCAAACTCCACTCATGTTCACATTGAGCATATTGAGTGTTGGTGCCATGTTTGGTCCAGATCCATCATTGTTTGAGTCCACAGGCCTTAAATTTTGGAGTTGTAGTTCACCTACATCCAGAGATGCCCACCAAATGCTTCCAATATTTTCTGTTGGTCATGGAAGTTCTATGTTCCAAGCTTGGTTCAATTCCATCATTGGTGGCGTTCAGAATGCTCTTTGATTGTTGGTGAACTATAAATCCCAGCAACTACAACTCCCAAATGACAAAATCAGTTCCCCGCACAACCCACCCGTATTCAAATTTGGGCATATTGGGTATTTGTGTCAAATTTGGTTCAGTGAATGAAAATACATCCTGCATATCAATCAGATATTTACATTACGATTCATAACAGTAGCAAAATTACAGTTAGCAACAAAAATAATTTTATGGTTGGGTGTCACCACAACATGTATTAAATGTATTAAGGGGTCACAGCATTAGAAAGGTTGAGAAACACTGTTCTACAGGTATGTGACATATTCTGTACAGAAGGAAACACCCAAAAGCTATCAAGAAACTACAAAGAGAAAAGCTTTTAAAAAGAAAAACAATGGAGAAAAAGTCAGAAATGGTACTGACTTTATTATCAGCAACAGACACAAATCACCATTAAAACATTCTTTCTCTTGCACTAAATTGGTCAAAACAAAACACATACTAAGAAAATAATCACAGGACCAGGAGAGAGTTTTCTAAAGTGCAATAAACACATAATCCAATGGTTTGAAGTAGGAATGTACCTAGATTAAAACAGATGTTTCAGTAGAATAATGTACATACACGTCACAGGCCAACTAATTTGTAGAAATATACGGACTCTACACAGCACAAAAGAGCACTGCTTACCATCCAGACTAATCTCCACAGTCTCTGAGGCCCCTTCCACACTGCTGCTATATCACAGAACCTGATCCCAGATTATCTGACAGTGGAGACTCATATAATCCAGTGTAAAACAGATAATCTGGGATCCGATCCTGAGATACAGGGCAGCGTAGAAGGGGCCTGAGCAAGAGTATTGCCAAAATTCCTTCAAGGACTACATTGATGTATTCATCTTCTTAGATCTTCCTTACAAGAGGGCTAAGAGGAAAGTTATAGGCAACATATATCTAAGAATCTTTCACATACTATGTGTATTCTTTCCAGAGGCTATTAGCAGGGCACTATCTGATGTCCAAAGGGACAAGAGAGTCACGAATAATGTAGATCTCCTGATCTCAATATCTGCAGTTTTCAATAGCATTTAAAGTAAAGAGAGGGGAAAAAACAAGAGTGGAACATTTCAGCCAAGCCTTCCACAGATCTGACATAATAATAAAATTCAAGGTCATGCAGTCCCAATTTAAAAAAATAGCAGCATTGGGTTGGATCTGAAAAAAATAAATAAAGGAAGGCAATTTTGTGTGCCAACACAGAGATACCAAGCCAGACCAACATGTTTGTCCCTTCAGGGACAGGTAGGAAAACTGCCATTCAAATAGACAAGCTCCACAACTTTTTCATTGTACACATAAAGCTAGGAAGCATCCCACCTGACAGACAAAAGTATTTGTGTGTTTTTTAAAAATCCCAAACACCAAACAGGAGTTTTAACAACTTCATAATCATGATGCCCCTCTCCGACAGGGTTTTGTTTTGTGCGTGTGGCATTATGAAGCCCAGAGTCCACATGCCCTTGCTGTCTAGGTAGCTGTAATACAGGGAGATGCTCAGGGTACTGGTTGACACATAAGCAGATGTACAGGGTGAGGCAGCATAATTTCGTTTTTTAAAATGTGCGCCATTCAGTCGGTTGAAGGTGTAGCGGAGCGCTAGTGGTCTCGTTCGAGAGGCGGGAGTATAAAGTTTTGTCCTGACACAGTTCAGTCGCCATCATGCATTGGAACAGTGAGGAGTGTGCTTTTGCCGTTGAGGCCTACTTTTCGAACGGATTTGGAGTGGCCGGGCCCGCTCTCCAGATTTGGCCCCTTGTGATTTTTTTCTATTTCTTTTGAAATCCTGTGTTTCTGTGAAACATCCAAGGACCCTACAAGATTTGAAGACCAACATCCTGGAAGAAATTGCCAACATAACTCCTGCTATGCTGGCAAGAGTCACGACAAATGCCAGAAATCAGTTTACTCAGTGTATGGAGAATGGAGAATGGGGGAACGTCACTTACCTAATTTGATCTTCAAAACTACATAAAACAAAACTTTAGGTATGCACCTACATTATAAAAAATATATAAAATTTCTGATTCATACAATGGGTTTTATTAAGTTTTGAAAAAAGGAAGTTATGCTGCCTCACCCTGTAGAATCCCATTGCAGCACACAGGAATGTAATGGGAAAATTCCCTGCAAGTGTTTGATCCTATCACACAAGGGTCAAATAGTTTAAGGCCTTTAACACAGGTGACTCCCCTGCTCAGATTCTGGGAACTCAGCCACTAAAGGCTGAGGGCGGGGTAACTTTTATATACACCCTGTAGGAGAAAAACAACACCAATGCTATTTAGACTTCACCCCAATTCCATGATACTTGGAGCAGAAACAGATTCCCTTCAAGAGTTCCCCTGGGATGAAAGATGTTCTTCTCTGTCGCCAAGCTTGTCTACTGAATCCAGTACAAGAAAAGGAGGCTAACTTTAAGGGCTGAGATTTCTGCACATGGACCTTTTCCACAGCACAAAAATAACTGTCTCAAGACAGACCCTGCCTGTCCCTAACAGTTTCATGTAGTTGCTCAGCAACAAGAGGCCACCACCAAAAAAGAAGCACTGCCTCCCACGTGAACCCATAAGCAGAGGCCTCCTGTGCTGATAAATAAGTGTTTTCCCACTCAAAAGGGATCTAGTGAAGCTCACACCGCCCTCATAATTCAAAAGGCATCTTTGATGTTCTTCAGTTGCCGCACAGCCAGGTCCACAGGAAGGCTGAACCGCAGGCTACTGAGGCGGCTGAGAATATTGAGGGCCCCCTCAAAGCCTGTCTGGGCCATGTAGCTCCAGGGCTGGTAGTGCGCTTGGATCAGAGCGCCAGACTTGCAGATGAGGTTGAGCCAGGAGACTAGGCGCTGCTCGTTGAGCGCCAGGCACACCAGAGCCTTCAGTTCTGAGTCTGCGCTGCGCTTAAAGGGGTCATGTTCAGAGAGGACTGTGTGGATTGCTGAGAGCAGGCTCTGCTTTGGGGTGGCAGGTGCCGCACCCATCACTGGGAGGGCAAAAGACTGTGAGAGTTTACGTGCTGGTGATTCCACAAAGGCACGGCCATTCTTAGAGTTGTAATACTTCACAAAGAGCTCCCAAGGATGCATGGCCTGAGGAGAGGAGCTCAGCACAGGAAGCAAACAGGCAATGGGGGCCAGGACCAAGCTCATCCCAGGAGATGGAGTGTAGAGACCATGGGCCAGAAGATCCCGTAAGGCAGTGGTCAGCTCCTTACGCACAGCCAGCGTTAGCTCATCCCGTCCTCCCAAGGAGGCATCCTGGGCACTTGAATAGCTGATGACATGTTCTGACTCTTGCAACTGATACTTTTGGGCTAGTGTCCTCACGCGGGCTACAGCCATCCCTAACTTGTTCACTAGAGGTGCATAATCCCTGTCAGAACGGTCCTTCTGCCATAAATGCTGTGGGATTTGTCCAGCTGCACAGCCAAATTGGCTCACAGCAAAGATCTGTAGCACAGCGAGCACTCGGCGCATAAGATGTAGCCCTGTCTCCCGCATCCTCTGAGCATCTTCAGGATTCACTGCAGAAAGAGAGAAAATGCAATATTCTTTAGAGCACTACTTCACTTCACTTCTTAATTAGTCGCTCTCCACCAAGGTGCTCCGAGTGATTTACAATCTAAAATAGCATTTACACAATATAAAAACATTCAACGTAAAAACATTCAACAGTGACTATTTGGCAAATTAGATCTGATTACTTAAGTGCACAACCAAACAGCCAAGTCTTGAGTGCCTTTACAAAAGGTCGCAATTCTGACATTGCTCTAATGCCATGATGGCGAACCTATGACATGTGTGTCAGCATTGACACGCATAGCCATTTTCGATGACACACGGTCGCATGCGGCCGCATACAGAGAAGATGGGGCCGCATCCCAAGAAAGACATTTCATCCTCGGCTCCTACACCAGCATTTTTCTATAATGCCGAGATATATGGCATTATAGAAAAAGCAGGTAAGTTAAATAATTAGTTTTTGGTTTATTAAATACAGTTATATATTCCAATAATATATTTTTGTTATTAAACTATAAATATCATGAAATTATGGGTTTTTTCTCGAATTGACACCCCACCCAAGTTATGCTCGTTTTTTTGGCAAGTATTGACACACCAAGCTCAAAAGATTGCCCATCATTGCTCTAATGTATGGAGGCAAAGAGTTCCACAGAATTGGAGCAAAACTGTGGGTCCCAACTCCAAATGGGGTCCTCTTAGCTAAATGTTGGGAGTCATGAAAAATTTGGCAACAGTAAAAGGTTTCTGTAAAGTAAAGTAAACTTTATTACAGTCGATGACCAGATCACAACATGGGGCCCCAGTCCCGTACACTTCAAACTTCCAACAAATTTTAAAATCTAAGCTAAAAACCAATATAAAACCTAACTCAACCCAATCATCCAAACGCAGTCTAAAGAGAGGCATTGGGAATGGCACCGGGGAGGGAAATATCCAACCCAGTTTACCTAGCCGAACGTATTCTCCCCTATGAACCATCAAGGATGTTAAGATCTTCCGGAGAGGCCCTGCTCTCAGTCCCACCACCTTCGCAAGTGCGTTTGGTGGGAACAAAAGACAGGGCCTTCTCTGTGGTGGCCCCTTGGCTATGGAACTCTCTCCCGAGCGAGATTAGATCTGCCCCCTCCCTCTTGTCTTTCAGGAGGCTAGTGAAATCCTGGTTATGGAACGAAGCTTTCCCAGAATAATGGCTGAGACTGGTTACAGACCAAAGTGAGTGACCACATATGCGGACTGAGTTGAGCATGATTTTACCTTGGAGATTTGGTATATATGTATTTTATCTATATGTATTTTAATCTTGTATTGTTGTATGATGTTTTAACTTGTATTAGTAGCATTGGATCCTTGCTGTAAGCCGGTCTGAGTCCCTCTATGGAGGTGAGAAGATCGGGATATAAAAGTTTGAAATAAATAAATAAATAAATAAAAATATCAATCTATATCTGATTTCCCATCTATATTCCAGAGGAGAAGCTTAGGTCTTTTAACCCTTAATCATCGTCCACCAAATTTTAATTGCAGCCGTGCAGAACTTAGCGATATTGTACATCACAGGCGAGTTTGTGTCTGAGAGCAGCAGATCTACACAGAATTGTCCAGAGCATCCTGGATATTTAATTGTCGATGGTAAGATGAGACGAGATCAAATGTGTCTATAAAACAGGCACCGCAGAAGCACGTGCTCCGTTATTTCTATGTGACCTGAGTCACAGGGACATAGCCTCTCAGAATATGGAGGTCATCTGGTAACGACCTTCCAGTACGGCAGAAGGAAGCGCATGGCACCGTGCCAAGGTGAAGGCTCTCTGATGGCTGGCTACTAGGCTTGGGCAATCCATGGTTCTAAATGGTTCTAAAGTACTTACAAAACTAACGTTCTGGTGGTGAAAATTTCAGAACTCTAACAAAACTCTCAAAATTTCATAATAAATGGCAGTTCCTAATTGGTTCTGTCATTAAAATCACCAATAATGAAATAATAATTAAATTTTGAGAGTTTTGTTAGAGTTCTGAAATTTTCACCACCAGAACTTTAGTTTTGTAAGTACTTTAGAACCATTTAGAACCATGGATTGCCCAAGCCTACTGGCTACCTCCAACACAGTAAAAGGTTTCTGAACATCATCTAGTGACCGTTTTAGACATTTACACTTATCTGTTGTGCTTCAGCTGTATTTTATAAAAAGGAAAATCAGCCTTGCAAATGCTGATTTGTTATTTTTTAATTTTTGTATTGTATTATAAGCAAATGCTGATTTGTTATGAGTAATGTTTGGTTTTTATACTTAATTTATATATCTATATACCTAGGGTCACATAAAAATTTCTCAAAGCAAAAGGGGTAGAAAAGTTAAATAAGTGCTGCTTTAAAGAATCATGCAATGGAATATACAACACCAAGAGAATGTTTGCAGTGATCTGAGTGAGCAAACATGTAAAACTCACACCACTTGGAATGCAGAATATATCCTACTTCCCTCAATAGATAGATCACATTGAATTGTTCTAATATATTGAATGTCAGATCTCTTTTGTATTTAATTTTACTTTTCTTCCACCCATGAAAGGAGCATAAATGGCCAGGGCGGCAGGAGATTGGACAATTGTTTGTGTATTACTGACATGCATGGCTGGGTTCATGAGGTCACGAAGAGTCGGAAGCGACTGAACAAATGAACAACAACAAAATGGTGGAATCGTTTTCAGATAAAGGCAAGTATGAAATAATGTTAATCACCATTGTATTTAAAAAGATTAGACGTCATCGTTGATTAATTAAAAAAAGAGTATGTAATCCCCCCAAACCTGCCCAAATGCCCACCTCTGTTACTTCTGTGAGGTTGCTTGGTATTCGGATTGCAGGTGCTACTTCCAGCTTTTCCAGATGAACAATCACATTGACCATTCTCTTGTTTGCCTGGACTGCTGACTTCTTCTGCAAAAGCCAAATGATAAGATTGTGATTCAAATTATACATCTAGGACAGCTAGGACCAAACACCCTGAATGCCAACCTTCATCTCTCAAAACTCCCCCCGAGCTATGCCTTGTTTCTGTACTTTTCTAACAGCAAAGGTTTCCAGATATAGTGAAGCCACGTGATAATGTTTCAAAGTTATTCCCCACGTTTTCTAGAAGGAATTACTCTTATCTATAAACCAAAATATCCCAGAGAAGGGTTGCAGTAAGTCCTAGAAGCATATGAACTAACAGTTCAGGGGTATCTATGTGTAAGAGAAAATATGAAAAATGTTGTGTCACCATAATGATTAATACTTGCTACGTCATGGAGTTTCCCTCTGAAGTCTTTTTAACTAAAAAAAAAGCAACTTAAAATGAAGTTGCAGCATTCCCTCAATAGTTTTGTGAAGTCAGATTATGTTTACTCTTTTGCATGCAGTAGAGCAGGGTGGCAAAGGATGGGCCACAAGCAACCCCAAGCCATTTTTATAGCTCTCAAGGCATACAGGAATTTAAAAATGCTAATTCTGGGGCTCCAAATGCCCTCTGGGGGCCACAGGGAGATTTTCACTTCATGTTAGTTTTCTGGGCAATTTCAGGTCCATTTTTTAAAAAGGAAGTCAGCAGGGAGTGATTCCGGCCTCTTTCTGCCATTTAAACAAGGCTCTCCAGAGACTAAAATGTCCCAGACTGAGGTTCCTTAAAACATGGTGAAAATGTTTCCCATGCCCCATAGCATGTGCCTAGAAACATTTGGGGGCAAAAACGTTTTTTAATCTGCCCTTTCTTTTTTGCGGGGTCAGGGTCCTTACTGCAAACTAGAAGCTGTCCTGCTCTATAAATAATGCAATGCATACATATTAGTAGAAGTACTGGTGATTAAACCTTTGATCCTGTTGTTGGTTGGGTTTACAAAAGCTCCTAGTTAAACTACTGTAACTCCAAAGTATCAACAATGATATACTGCACATATTGGGCAATGATACTTTCTTCCACAGGCCTTGACTCCTTTGTTCCCCAAAACAGTAAGTCACCTGTAGCAGGCTATTTAAAAGAAACACAGATGGAGGCATCAGTCCCTGCAATGAATCCAGATGCCATCTTTGCAGTTAAAGAGTTGCTATCCCACTTTAGACTTTATGGCTACCCCCTGCTAAATCCTGGGAGAGGCCTTTAAAATTCTCAGCCAGAGAAGTCCTGGGCATCACTAAATTACAAACCCCAGAATTCGCAAGAAAGCTTTGAAGTGGGATGCCAACTCTTTAAATTGTAGTGTGGTAATCTTTGTCTCTATTTCTAATCAGACTACAGCCCCGCCTCTATATCCCAGGATCTGATTCCAGATTATCTGTTTATCCCAGGTTAACTGGCAATGGGGACTCATATAATCCAGTTTAAATCAGATAATCTGAGATCAGATCCTGGGATATAGGGCAATATGAGAGGGGCCTACATAAGTACAGGACTTAATATAATTGCCAGCTTACACTGCTGAATTACAATGAAAGCTATGACATTCTAAAGGGCTAAATACAATTTTAAACTCTCTTTTATTCATCTCACCACTTATATGAAATGGAACTTGCATTTAAAATATCCACTTAATTGATGGATTTGTTCTAATAGTGTGGCACAGAAATTGTGAGTTGTTTTACTCCCTGTGATAACAAGCAAAAGTTAACATCTGATACTGTGTTAAAATTAAAGTTAAATGTGACTGGTAGCACTTTGGCTAGCTTGCCTCTGCCCCTGACTGTTGTATGCATTTTATATACCCTTCATCTCTCATATGTAGCTCACAATATGTAAGAATTTTTCCAGCTCACCTTGGATAAAACTGATAAACATTTCAAGATCCCGGATCTGGGTTTTAAGCTGCTCTACGAGCTGTTCCTTCACGCGGGCCGGATTAACAATCTGGGCCACAGCCGCATCCACCTGATGATGCAGCTCCTCTGGTGACAGCGAGGCAATGTCCTCACTCAAGTTCATGTCCAACTTCTTGATCAGCTCCTCAATAATCACCTGTAAAGCCACACAGAAATCAAAAGAAATACAGATGTGTACTATCCTTCATTCCAACAGCCCCGCCTCCCAATGGTCTAAACATCAATTGGTTTAGCTAAAAGGTCACCCATGCAGACAAGCTAGAATTAGGTAGTATGTGCATCAGCAGGGCTCACCCGCTGCCTCTCCATGACCACAGACTGAGGTAGTGCATCATAACTGCCTTCCTGGTAGGCAAATGTTTCCAAGTCATCCAACTGGACCTTGAGCTGCAGAATGAGTTCCCGCTGCTTCTCCTTCTGTGCCTCTAGGTGTTCTTGCTTCTCGAGCTCGCTCTGAAACAAAGAAATAATATAGCATCTTCAATCTCTGGAAATGAGTCAAAGCTAAAGAGACTCATCAACACCCCAAAGTCTGAAAATAAATTGCTGCTTTTGTCTAAAGAGCATTTCCCTGCCCTGGGTCTTTTCAGATCTTCTTGGATCTGGCACATCTGTCTGAGCCAGCATGGCCAATTTTTGGAGAAAGCAGAAGTAATAGTCCAGCTCTCCTGAAGAAGAGCGCATTAGAAAACAGTTAAAAGGTTCATAACAACTCTAGTTCTCATAACAGCTCTAGCTCTCATTAACAGTCACCTCATGGTCTATGAAGTTCAGAACACCAAGCTTGTATGCACAGAAGACTATAATCTGAATTAATGTATGCAAAGGTCTCCTTAAGTCACAATATTTATTTATTTATTTGCTACACTTTTATCCCGCCCTTTTCAGCCAGAAGGTGACTCAGAGCGGCATACAGACTGGCAACAATTAGATGCCGAACACACATAAATACATCATTTAAAACAGATTAAATCACATAATAAAATTAATATAAGAATTACTTAAAACTATAAAAATCAATGGCTTCCAGGTTTAAATCCATGTCCATTTGCATCATTAAGCCATTCCAAATTGAAAGTATAAATATATATACACACACACACGTATGCACATAAGACACATGCACAAATACATACAGAAGTACACATGCCAGAAATGCAGGTAAAGCTCAGCTGTGTACACTGTGTACACTTTGCAAACAATAAGCAATCAAAATATCATCATATGCTCCAAACTTTAACAGAGCTTTCAGGAACACAATGATATGAAATGGATGATTTAAAAATGGACACTTAAAACATGCACTTGTTCCAACTTACAGACAAATTCAACTAAGAACAAACCTACAGAACATATCTTGTCTGTGATCTGGTTACTGCCTGTTCTTTTAAACTACAGTAGTTGCTAAACGCAACACTAGATCACACATGATCACGGTCCGACATGCCAATATTGAAAGTTATAAAACTATCTGCTGCTACATTGAGACTGGGATCCATGGTTTTCCCGACTGGGGAAAAGGTTAAGAAACTCTGTTAAAGACAGCTCAGAATGATACCAGACCCTGGGGTTTCCTAGCTAAAATTTATAACCTGGGGCTAGCCCTTAGTGAGCTCATTAGGTGATATGCATTAAATCCAGCTTAAATATCCTAAAGCACAAGTGTCAAGTCCAAGGTCCACAGGCCAAATCCAGCCCACCATGTCATGGGGCTCTCAAAATACTGGACTACAACTCCTGTATTCCTCAACATTAAACATCGTGACTAGGGCTGATAGGAGTTGTGATATAGTAATAATAATTATTACTACTATATAATCAAGTATATATTACTACTATATAATCAAGGATCAATTTCTATAAAAGTTTTAACCTACTGAATGCTTGTGTGAGCTGATGTTTGAACTAGCACAGTGTAAACCTCATTTGTGCAAGTTGTCAGTAACAACTTTTAAAATGCAACCCTCTCCAAACCCCATATTAAAATTTGACCTGTTTTGAAAAAAATGACCATGCAAATATTTCCCCACTACTCGGTTCATGATTTTCCCTTACAAATATATATGTTTTATCTCTATCTCATCCTGAGTTTTTATCACTGTATCTTGCGCATGTGGCCCGCTCATTGTGATTGTGTCTGATCTTTTATTGTATTACTTTACACTGTTTATTGAATTTTATGCTTGATTTATTTTATGTGCTGTTATTTTGTGTTTTTTATGTTACCGTATTATAATGCACTACTGGGCTTGGCCTCATATAAGCTGCCCTGAGTCCCCTTTGGGGAGATGGTAGCGGGGTATAAATAAAGATTATTATTATTATTATTATTGGCATGGAGCAGAAAACATGGAGGTGTACTATCAGGAACTCAGATGCGCCACACTGATTGACATTTCATATTACTCTTCAATCTTTGCTTGCCTGTTGGAGGCTTAAATATTATTAATTATTATTATTAAATTTTATTTGTACCCCGCTAGCATCTCCCGAAGGACTCGATGCAGCTTACAAAGGCCGAGGCCTCAACATAACAACAACATAAAACAATACAACTCAAAGCAAATCAAAAACATAAAGCAATATCAACAAAACATTACATCATAAACACAGTAAAACCAAGGCCGGGCCAAGTAGTGGGTACAGATTAAAAAGTGCTGGGTGTGATAGGCGGCATATTGGATTTCAGGGCATGTGCAATGTGCAGAGGATCTTAAAGCCCTAATAAAGTGCTTCTGGGACATAGTGCTGAAGTTTCCTATTCCGGAAAGGCACATCGGAACAGCCAGGTCTTCAAGGTCTTCCTAAAGCCTGCCAACGTGGGTGCTAATCTGATGTCTTTGGGGAGGTTGTTCCAAAGTCGAGGGGCAACCACAGAAAAGGCCCTATCCCTCGTCCCCACCAACCGTGCTTGCAATGCCGGTGGGATCGCGAGCAGGGCCTCCCCAGATGAACGAAGGGAGCGCGTGGGTTCATAGACGGAGATGCGGTCACGCAGGTAGGCAGGTCCCAAACCGTTTAGGGCTTTGTAGGTAAGCACCTGCACCTTGAATTGGGCTCGGTAGGTAAATGGCAGCCAATGGAGCTCCTTAAACAGGAAGGTTGACCTCTCTCTGTAAGGAGCTCCAGTTAACATCCTGGCCGCCGCCCGTTGGACCAGTTGGAATTTCCGAGCCGTTTTCAAGGGCAGCCCCACGTAGAGCGCATTATAGTAATCCATTCGAGAGGTGACCAAGGCATTCCTATTGTAGAAAGAATTAAAGATGGATATTAGAGGCAAAGAGCATTAGTCTTAGTTGTGCAAAGCCCTCCCGGACAGCCGCCGACGCCTGAGCCTCAAGCGTAAGTGATGAATCCAAGAGGGCTCCCAAACTGCGGACCTGTGACTTCAGGGGGAGTGTAACGCCGTCCAGCACAAGTTGCCACCCTATACCCCGATCCGGTTTATGATTGACCAGGAGGACCTCTGTCTTGTCGGGATTGATCTTCAGCTTGTTCCTCCTCATCCAGACAGCCACAGCGGCCAGGCACTCGTCCAGCACTCGAGGGGCCTCCTTGGAATTAGGTGGAAATGAGTAGTAGAGTTGTGTGTCATCTGCATAGAGTGGCACCTAACTCCAAAACTCCGGATGACCTCTCCCAGCGGTTTCATGTAGATGTTAAAAAGCATGGAAGACAGAATAGAGCCTTGCGGGACCCCACAGGTCAAAGGCCAGGGGTCCGAGCAGGCGTCTCCCAGCTTCACCATCTGGGATCGACCCTCCAGGAAGGACCGGAGCCACGACAAAACCGTGCCCCCGAGACCCATCCCAGAGAGTCGACCCAGAAGGATACCATGATCGATTTGTTTTACATGTATGTTGGCATTGAATTTTTGCCATTAAAATGTTGTAAACGGCCTTGAGTCCCTCCAGGGGTATTTATATTTATCGTGTCGTCAGCAACCATTGTATTACAATTCTAACAGAACAAAACAAATACACAGATTAAAAAGAAAAAGGAAGAAAAAAAACCACACAGATTCTGCAAATTTGGTATTTGGTTAAATGTCCTTTGACCAGTATCTGGCCACTTGGAGTGCCTCTGGGGTTGCCGCAAGGTGGTCCTCCATTGTGCATGTGGCAGGGCTCAGGTTGCATTGCAGCAGGTGGTCAGTGGTTTGTTCTTCTCCGCACTCGCATGTCGAGGATTCCACTTTGTAGCCCCATTTCTTAAGATTGGCTCTTCATCTCGTGGTGCCAGAGCGCAGTCTGTTCAGCGCCTTCCAAGTCGCCCAGTCTTCTGTGTGCCCAGGGGGGAGTCTCTCATCTGGTATCACCCATGGATTTAGGTGCTGGGTTTGGGCCTGCCACTTTTGGACTCTCGCTTGCTGGGGTGTTCCAGCGAGTGTCTCTGTAGATCTAAGAAAACTATGTCTTGATTTAAGTCGTTGACGTGCTGGCTGATACCCAAACAGGGGATGAGCTGGAGATGTCTCTGCCTTGGTTCTTTCACTATTGGCTGCTACTTCCCGGCGGATGTCAGGTGGTGCAATACCGGCTAAGCAGTGTAATTTCTCCAGTGGTGTGGGGCAGACACCCTGTGATAATGCGGCATGTCTCATTAAGAGCCACATCTACTGTTTTAGTGTGGTGAGATGTGTTCCACACTGGGCATGCATACTCAGCAGCAGAGTAGCATAGCGCAAGGGTAGATGTCTTCACTGTGTCTGGTTGTGATCCCCAGGTTGTGCCAGTCAGCTTTCATATGATGTTGTTTCTAGCGCCCACTTTTTGTTTGATGTTCAGGCAATGCTTCTTGTAGGTCAGAGCACGGTCCAAAGTGACTCCCAGGTATTTGGGTGTGTTGCAATGCTCCAGTGGGATTCCTTCCCAGGTGATCTTCAGAGCTCGGGATGCTTGTCTGTTCTTAAGGTGAAAGGTGCATGTCTGTGTTTTAGATGGATTAGGGATCAGTTGGTTTTCCCTGTAATAGGCAGTAAGAGCACCTAGAGCTTCGGAGAGCTTCTGTTCATACCATCTCAAAGCTCCCTGCTTGAGCAGTAATGGCACGATCATCAGCATAGATGAAACTCTCTGTCCCTTCTGGCAGTGGCTGGTCATTTGTGTAGATGTTGAACATGGATGGAGCAAGCATGCTCCCCTGAGGCAGGCCGTTCTTCTGTTTCCGCCATCTGCTTCTCTGGCCCTGGAACTCAGCAAAAAAGCTCCTGTTTTGTAGCAGGTTTCCTATGAGGCGGGTGAGGTTGTCGTCCTTTGTGATATTATACATTTTTCTCAGGAGGAGGCGGTGGTTCACAGTATCATAGGCTGCTGACAGGTCTATGAAGAGACCTCCAGGGGTGAGAAAGGTGGTATATAAATACAGTAAATATAATAAATATATTTATTTATACTCCGTTTTATCTCCCTAAAGGGGACTCAAAGAGGCTTGACATTAGTATACAATTTAAAATATGGTTGAGATGGAGACTTGGCTTGACATCCGTCAGGAGAGAATGCTTCTGGAAAACTCACAATAACCCAGCGAGGAGCTCTATCTCAGAGGGGGAAACTAGGCCAACGTTGCACAGGCTCCTCACCTTGCTTCCGCCGCCCCCGATTCCTTCCACGGCGGCCCCGAAGCCCGGGCAGCCTCGGAAGGCGAACTCCTCCAGCTCCCGGAGTAAGCGCTGCTGCTGGGCCGGCCCCGCGCGAGCCACCTGCCGGAGGCGGAACTGGACCTGGGCGAAATGGGAGGCCAACGCCAGGAGGGCCGAGTGGAGGCGGCGCCGCTCCGCCCGCAAGGCCCGCGGGGAGCCCGGCTCGGCCTCTTCCTCTTCCCCGGCCTCCTGCTCCTCCTCCCCGGCCTGGGCTTCGGACACCGCTCCCACCGGCGCCCAGCGCTCTCCTGGGCCCGACGCCGACGCCTCCATCTTGGCCTTCGCCGCCAGCGGCCGCTAGCAACAGACAACCGGAAGTCCCTCTCAGCAGAAGCAGGAGAGAGCGTCACTTCCTCGAGACGCCTAACGTGCAGATAGAGCTACAGAAAATTTAGACTGACTCTTCCTCTGCACACAACAGACAACTTCCGGCTCGGCTCTGCTCCCTACAGCCTCAATAGTTAGAAAGCCATTCTGGAAAATACCTTTGTCCTACACTGAAGGGCTGTCCTAACCTCCTCAATGAATGTCTCTTAGAGCTTTTCCAGAAAAGCCCTAGATTTTCCTATAAATCTTTAAATAGTTTTCTAAGATCTACAGAGACACTCGCTGGAACACCTCAGCAAGCGAGAGTCCAAAAGTGGCAGGCTCAAACCCAGAACCTCAACCAATGGCTGATACCAAATGAGAGACTCCCCCCTGGGCACACAGAGGCCTGGGCGACTTGGAAGGCGCTGAACAGACTGCGCTCTGGCACCACGAGATGCAGAGCCAACCTTAAGAAATGGGGCCACAAAGTGGAATCCTCAACATACGAGTGTGGAGAAGAGCAAACCACTGACCACCTGCTGCAATGCAACCTGAGCACTGCCACATGCACAATGGAGGACCTTCTTGCAGCAACACCAGAAGCACTCCAAGTGGCCAGCTACTGGTCAAAGGACATTTAATCAACTACCAAACTCACAAATTTTGTATTTTGTCTGTTTGTTTGCTTTGTTCTATTAGAAATGTAAAATAATTGACTGGTTGTCCTGACATGACAAATAAATAAATAGGGCTTTTCCACACAGGCTAGAATATCAGATCAGATAATCCACAATATATGTGAACTGAGCCCCCCTCTACACTGCCATATAACATCCAGATTGTCTACTTTAAATAATAATAATAAAACTTTATTTGTACCCCGCTACCATCTGCCCAAGGGACTCTGTGCGGCTTACATGAGCAGATAATGTAGGATTTTCTTCCTTGATATTCTGAGATATAGGGCTGTATGAAAGGGCCCTAGAAGAGATCAGAAAATAAAATTACAATAACAAAGTAAAATAATAAAGCAAATTCAAAGCATTATAATCCAGACTCATATAATCCAGTTCAAAGCAGATATTGTGGGATTTTCGACCTTGATATTTTGGGATATAGGGCTGGGTGGAAGGGCCCATATATTCCACACAGCAGAATAAAATCCCACACTATCTGCTTTGAACTGGAATAGATGGCAGTGTGGACTCAGATAATAATAATAACAACAACAAGACAGTCACACAGTCCTAGACTGGGAAGTGTTCGACTTGTGATTTTGTGATACGAAATCCAGCATATAGATCTCGTTTGCAGTGACATACTGTGTTTTTGTGTCAATAATAATAATAATAATAATAATAATAATCTTTATTTATACCCCGCCACCATCTCCCCAATGGGGACTCGGGGCGGCTAACATGAGGCCAAGCCCTTTAAAATACAATGCAACACAATAAAATACAGAACACAAGAAACAAAATGCATCAGAAAATAAAAATTACAATAACAAAGTAAATTAATAAAGCAAATTCAAAGCATTATAATCCAGACTCCTATAATCCAGTTCAAAGCAGATATTGTGGGATTTTCTACCTTGATATTCTGGGATATAGGGCTGGGTGGAAGGGCCCATATATTCCACACAGCAGAATAAAATCCCACACTATCTGCTTTGAGCTGGAATAGATGGCAGTGTGGACTCAAATAATAATAATATACAGTATATTCTGGCGTATAAGACTACTTTTTAACCCAAGAAAATCTTCTCAAAAGTCAGGGGTCGTCTTATACGCGGGTGTAGTCTTATGCGTGGGAGTCGTCTTAACTCTATATTTTAACTGGAAAATAGATGGCAGTGTGGACTCAAATAATAATAATATAATCATCATCATCATCATCATCTTTGGGTTGTTGTAGGTTTTTTCGGGCTATATGGCCATGTTCTAGAGGCATTTCTCCTGACGTTTTGCCTGCATCTATGGCAAGCATCCTCAGAGGGAGTGAGGTCTGTTGGAACTAGGAAAATGGGTTTATATATCTGTGGAATGACCAGGGTGGGACAAAGGACTCTTGTCTGCTGGAGCTAGGTGTGAATGTTTCAACTGACCACCTTGATTAGCATTTGATTCCCTGGCAGTGCCTGGAGCAATCTTTTGTTGAGAGGTGATTAGATGTCCTTGTTTGTTTCCTCTCTGTTGTTGTGCTGTTCTAATTTTAGAGTTTTTTAATGTTCTAATTTTAGAGCCATAGATGCAGGCGAAACGTCAGGAGAAGTGCCTCTAGAACATGGCCATATAGCCCGAAAACCATGAAAGCCTTCGACAATACATAATAATCTTTATATATACCCCGCCAAAATCTCCCCAATGGGGACTCGGGGCGGCTAACATGAGGCCAAGCACTTTAAAATACAATACAACACAATAAAATACAGAACACAAGAAACAAAATGCATCAGAAAATAAAAATTACAATAACAAAGTAAAATAATAAGGCAAATTCACAGCATTATAATCCAGACTCCTACAATCCAGTTCAAAGCAGATATTGTGGGATTTTCTACCTTGATATTCTGGGATATAGGGCTGGGTGGAAGGGCCCATATATTACTCATAGCAGAATAAAATCCCACACTATCTGCTTTGAACTGGAATAGATGGCAGTGTGGACTCAGATAACAACAACAACAACAACAAGACAGTCATACAGTCCTAGACTGGGAAGTGTTTGACTTGTGATTTTGTGATACGAAATCCAGCATATAGATCTTGTTTGCTGTGACATACTGTGCTTTTGTGTCAATAATAATAATCTTTATTTATACCCCGCCACCATCTCCCCAATGGGGACTCGGGGCGGCTAACATGAGGCCAAGCCCTTTAAAATACAATACAACACAATAAAATACAGAACACAAGAAACAACATGCATCAGAAAATAAAAATTACAATAACAAAGTAAAATAATAAGGCAAATTCACAGCATTATAATCCAGACTCCTACAATCCAGTTCAAAGCAGATATTGTGGGATTTTCTACCTTGATATTCTGGGATATAGGGCTGGGATATAGGGCCCATATATTACTCATAGCAGAATAAAATCCCACACTATCTGCTTTGAACTGGAATAGATGGCAGTGTGGACTCAGATAACAACAACAACAACAACAAGACAGTCATACAGTCCTAGACTGGGAAGTGTTTGACTTGTGATTTTGTGATACGAAATCCAGCATATATATCTTGTTTGCTGTGACATACTGTGTTTTTGTGTCAGAATAATAATAATCATCATCATCATCTTTATTTATACCCCGCCAACATCTCCCCAATGGGGACTCGGGCGGCTAACATGAGGCCAAGCCCTTTAAAATACAATACAACACAATAAAATACAGAACACAAGAAACAACATGCATCAGAAAATAAAAATTACAATAACAAAGTAAAATAATAAGGCAAATTCACAGCATTATAATCCAGACTCCTACAATCCAGTTCAAAGCAGATATTGTGGGATTTTCTACCTTGATATTCTGGGATATAGGGCTGGGATATAGGGCCCATATATTACTCATAGCAGAATAAAATCCCACACTATCTGCTTTGAACTGGAATAGATGGCAGTGTGGACTCAGATAACAACAACAACAACAACAAGACAGTCATACAGTCCTAGACTGGGAAGTGTTTGACTTGTGATTTTGTGATACGAAATCCAGCATATAGATCTTGTTTGCTGTGACATACTGTGCTTTTGTGTCAATAATAATAATAATAATCATCATCATCTTTATTTATACCCCGCCAACATCTCCCCAATGGGGACTCGGGGCGGCTAACATGAGGCCAAGCCCTTTAAAATACAATACAACACAATAAAATACAGAACACAAGAAACAACATGCATCAGAAAATAAAAATTACAATAACAAAGTAAAATAATAAGGCAAATTCACAGCATTATAATCCAGACTCCTACAATCCAGTTCAAAGCAGATATTGTGGGATTTTCTACCTTGATATTCTGGGATATAGGGCTGGGATATAGGGCCCATATATTACTCATAGCAGAATAAAATCCCACACTATCTGCTTTGAACTGGAATAGATGGCAGTGTGGACTCAGATAACAACAACAACAACAACAAGACAGTCATACAGTCCTAGACTGGGAAGTGTTTGACTTGTGATTTTGTGATACGAAATCCAGCATATAGATCTTGTTTGCTGTGACATACTGTGCTTTTGTGTCAATAATAATAATAATAATCATCATCATCTTTATTTATACCCCGCCAACATCTCCCCAATGGGGACTCGGGGCGGCTAACATGAGGCCCAGCCCTTTAAAATACAATACAACACAATAAAATACAGAACACAAGAAACAACATGCATCAGAAAATAAAAATTACAATAACAAAGTAAAATAATAAGGCAAATTCACAGCATTATAATCCAGACTCCTACAATCCAGCTCAAAGCAGATATTGTGGGATTTTCTGCCTTGATATTTTGGTATATAGGGCCCTTTCAGATAGTCCCTGTATCCCAGGATCAGATCCCTGGTTTTCTGCTTTAAACCGGATTATATGAGTCCCCACTGCCAAACAATCTGGGATAAACAGAAAACCTGGGATCAGTTTCTGAGATACAGAATGGCCTGTCTGGAAGGGCACTCATATAATTCCCAGATCATCTGGGGTCAGATCCTGGGATATAGAGCAGTATCAAAGGGCTCTATGGGACGTGTGGGGAAAATTCTGGACTTCTGTCCCCTTGGAAGAGGCGCAGGCGATGGGCAGCGACAGCTGGGCGAGGGGCGGCCCTGGCCTTGGCTCCGCCCGGCAAAAGGGGCTCCCAATAAGCCTCCGGGTTTCTCTCCCCTCCTTCCTAAAAGGGAGCCGAAGGGAGCCTGGGCTGGATCTCCCCCTTCCTCAGCAGCCATGGCTAGGTGAGTGCCTTCCACGCCTGGGTCTCTCTAGGATCCCTTCCCAATCACAAATGCATGGAGTTCCTTGTTTCTCCAGGCAAGAAATTCCATTCTAATATTCCTTTTTCTCCACTCAGAGCTCGGGGAAAAGTTACTTTTGGGGACCACAACTCTTGGGGTTCATCTATGGCTGGATCTATTATTATTGTTGTTATTATTATTAGAAATAAGCATAATAAATAAACATGAATGATGATGATAATAATCAGAAATAAGCATCATTCAATTATGTTTATTTATTATGCTTATTTCTAATAATTATTAGAAATAAGCATAATAAATAAACATAATTGAATGATGCTTATTTCTGATTATTATCATCATCATTCATGTTTATTTATTATGCTTATTTCTAATAATTATTAGAAATAAGCATAATAAATAAACATAATTGAATGATGCTTATTTCTGATTATTATCATCATCATTCATGTTTATTTATTATGCTTATTTCTAATAATAATAACAACAATAATCTAAATAAATAAAAATGTAATGTTCGTTTGTGGGATTAACAGAACTCAAAAACCAGTGGGCAATTGACACCAAATTTGGACAGCATACACCTAACAACCCAATGTATGTCCTTCACTCATTTTTTTTTATTTTGTCATTTGGGAGTTGTAGTTGCTGGGATTTATAGTTCACCTACAATCAAAGAGCATTCTGAACCCCACCGACAATAGAATTGGACCAAACTTGGCACACAGTTCTCCCATGACCAACAGAAAATACTGGAAGGGTTTGGTGGGCAGTGTCCTTTGGTTTTGGAGTTGTAGTTCACCTACATCCAGAGATCACTGTGGACTCAAACAATGATGGATCTGGACCAAACTACCAATACTCGATATGCCCAAATGTGAACACTGATAGAGTTTGGGGAAAGTAGAATCTTGACATTTGGGAGTTGTAGTTGCTGGGATTTATAGTCGTAAGGCCGAACAGGGTATAGGGTTACAGCCTGTGTTAGACGGGGTTACACTCCCCCTGAAGACGCAGGTTCGCAGCTTGGGAGTGATCCTGGACTCACCGCTGAGCCTGGAACCCCAGGTCTCGGCGGTGGCCGGGAGAGCTTTTGCACAACTAAAACTTGTGCGCCAGCTGCACCCGTACCTTGGGAAGTCGGACTTGGCCACGGTGGTCCACGCTCTTGTTACATCCCGATTGGATTACTGCAACGCACTCTACGTGGGGTTGCCTTTGAAGACTGCTCGGAAACTCCAACTGGTCCAGCGGGAGGCAGCCAGATTGCTTACCGGAGCGACATACAGGGAGCACACCACCCCCCTGTTGTGTCAGCTCCACTGGCTGCCGATCCAATTCCGAGCACAATTCAAAGTGCTGGTTTTGACCTACAAAACCCTATACGGTTCCGGCCCAGTGTATCTGTCCGAATGGATCTCCCTCTACGTCCCACCTCGGAACCTAAGATCCTCTGGGGAGGCCCTGCTCTCGACCCCGCCTTTATCACAAGTGAGATTGGCGGGGACGAGGAGCAGGGCCTTCTCGGTGGTGGCCCCCCACCTGTGGAATTCACTCCCCGGGGAGATTAGATCGGCAACGTCCCTTCTTTCATTTAGGAAAAAGTTGAAAACCTGGATATGGGACCAGGCATTTGGACACCCTGGCAGCTAAAGAAAGACCTGATGACGAGCTGAAATTGACGAGATGGAATGGATTTACGAAACTCCGAACGCTGAGCTCAGGATTAGTCTACTATTGTGTTATTGTATTGTTGTGTATTGATGATTTTAATTTTTAATTTGTAACTGTTTAATTTGTTTATATATGTATGTATATGTGACAAAGGCATCGAATTGTGCCTTCCTCTGTAAGCCGCCCTGAGTCCCCCCTTGGGGGTGAGAAGGGCGGGGTAAAAGTGACGGAAATAAATAATAAATAAATAAATAAATCAAAGAGCATTTTGAACCCCACCAACGATGGAATTGAACCAAACTTGGCACACAGTTCTCCCATGACCAACAGAAATACTGGAAGGGTTTGGTGGGCAGTGTCCTTTGGTTTTGGAGCTGTAGTTCACCTACATCCAGAGATCACTGTGGACTCAAACAATGATGGATCTGGACCAAACTCTACAAATACTCAATATGCCCAAATGTGAACACTGGTGGAGTTTGGGGAAAATAGACTTTGACATTTGGGAGTTGTAGTTGCTGGGATTTATAGTTCACCTAAAATCAAGAGCATTCTGAACCCCACCAACGATGAAATTGAACCAAACTTCCCACACAGTTCTCCCATGACCAAGAGAAAATACTGGAAGGGTTTGGTGGGCAGTGTTCTTTGGTTTTGGAGTTGTAGTTCACCTACATCCAGAGAGCACTGTGGACTCAAACAATGATGGATCTGGACCAAACTCTACACATACTCAATATGCCCAAATGTAAACACTGGTGGAGTTTGGGGAAAATAGAATCTTGACATTCGGGATTTGTAGTTGCTGGGATTTATAGTTCACCTACAATCACAGAGCATTCTGAACCCCACCAACGATAGAATTGGGCCAAACCTCCCACACAGCCCCATGTGGGCCACAGCAATGTGTGGCAGGGGACGGCTAGTTTCTAATAATAATAATAATAATAATAATAATAATAATAATAATAATGGTTCTATGCTGCCCAATATCCCATGAGCTGATCCTAAATCATTTGCTTTGAACTGAATTACATTAGTCTCCACTGCCAGGTAATATGGGATCAGATCCTGGAATATAGGACAGTATAAATCCATCCTATATTATAGACTGAGGGCCCTTCCACACAGCCACATAACCCAGAATATCAAGGCAGAAAATCCCCCAATATCTGCTTTGAACTGGGTTATCTGAGTCCACACTGCCATATATTCCAGTTCAAAGCAGAAAGTGTGGGATTTTGTTCAGCTGTGTGCATGGGGCCTAAAGGGCCCTATATCCAAGGATGTGATCCTGTTTATCCCAGATTACCTGGCAGTGCGGACTCATATAATCCAGTTTAACGCAGACTAGATCCTGGGATATAGGGCCTGTGGGGGCCCCTCCACACAGCCCTATATCTCAGAATATCAAGGCAGAAAATCCCACAATATCTGCTTTGAATTGGGTTATCTGAGTCCACACTGCTATATATTCCAGTTCAAAGCAGATAGTGTGGGATTTTATGACTCGTTCAAGATTGGGGGCCCTTCCACACATCCCTCTATCCCAGAATATCAAGGCAGAAAATCCCACAATATCTGCTTTGAATTTGGTTATCTGAGTCCACATTCAGATAATGTGGGATTTTCTGCCTTGATATCCTGGGATAAAGGCCTGTATGCAAGGGCCCTGAGATCCCTTCTACACTGCCATATAAAATCCAGGTTATCTGCTTTGAACTGGATTATATGGCAGTGTAGACTCAGTTCAAAGCAGATCATGTGGATTATCAATTTTGATAATCTGGATTACATGGCAGTGTAGATCCAGGCTCGTTGCAATGGAATTCTGGGAGTTGCAGATTTACAAGGTTTTTAGCTTTCTGTGCCAATGAGGATTGGGGCCTTCCCAAACTACAAATCCCCAGGAACTCAAAGCATGGTGTCAAACTGCATTAATTCTACAGTGTAGATGCACCTTAGGTCTGTGAAAATGTCCACAGGGAGATAGTTGTGGCTGGATCTACACTATGGAATGAATGCAGTTTGGCACCACTTTAACTGCCATGGCTCAGTGCTCTGGGATCCTGGGATTTGTTGTTTGGGAAGACTCCAGCTCTCTCAGGGCCCTTCCACACAGCCCTATATCCCAGAATATCAAGGCAGAAAATCCCACAATATCCGCTTTGGACTAGGTTATCTGAGTGTGAATGTGAGATTTTCTGCCTTGATATTCTGGATTCTCTCTGGTAGAGAAACCTAGAGACCTTGTTAAACTACAACTCCCAGGATTCCATTGCACTTTTTCTTTCATGTTAGGAGTGACTTGAGAAACTGCAAGTCGCTTCTGGTGTGCGAGAATTGGGTGTGTGCAGGTACGTGGCCTTGATATTCTGGGATATAGGGCTGTGTGGAAGGATCTTGAGTCCACACTGCCATATATTCCAGTTCAAAGTAAATAATGTGGGATTTTATTCAGATGTGTATAAGAAAGTGACTTGCCAAAGAGTGAATTTAGTAGAAACAAATGTTAACTGTTCAAATATTAGTGAATCTCACTTGACAACAGCTCCCTAACAATTAAATAATCCTTTCCTACTAAATTTCCCATTTTTGCTTTGCTCTTTATCAGATCTGAACCACAGATTTACCATGTTTTGCAGCTGTGAGTTATACTGCTGGCGGTTAAGTGGCCAGAAATAGCTTTCAGACATGTGGGAATTGGGGTTAAGCTCTTTCCTCAAAAGGATGTTGCCATGCCAAAGAGCATTCACGCTGGATCTACACTGCTCTATATCCCAGGATCTGATCCCAGATTATCTGCTTTGAACTGGATTATATGGTAGCGTATATTCCTTATACAAACAGCCTCAAGGTAGTTTGGTACACAATCTATATAAATAAAAATGTAATGTTCGTTTGTGGGATTAACATAACTCATAAACCACTGGACAAATTGACACCAAATTTGGACACAAGACACCTAACATCCCAATGTATTAACACCCCAATGTACTATGTCTAGCAGTCACTATCTGCTTGCCTACGGAAAATCATGATGATGATATCTAAGAAACTAAAACTGATGTGGTCTGTCCAATGCAATTTTCTGAAGCAGTGCCTCAAATAATCCCCGAAACAGGTCTAGAAAACAAGACACCAAGAAAATAATGCTTTTATTGTTATGCTGTGTAATTTTTCCTATCAATGTTATTTGTACTTTGGGTTTTTATTATTATTATTATTATTATTATTATTATTATTATTATTATTATTAAACTTTATTTGTACCCTGCTAGCATCTCCCGAAGGATTCGATGCGGCTTACACAGGCCGAGGCCTCAACACACAACATAACAATACAATCTAAGCAAATCAAACAATTAAAAACAGAATAAAGCAAAGTAAACAACAGGCACAATACATTAAATCATAATAAAACTGGGCCGGGCCAGAAGGTGGGTACAAAGATTAAAAGTGCTGATGTGATGTTGTTCCAACATGTGTCCTCTCCATGTTCCCTAAGGCAGGCGGCCAAGACGTTGTGGTATGACCGTCCGCGCTATGTATTTGTGGAGTTCTGCGTGGAGGACAGTGTGGATGTGAAAGTGGACCTTGATGATTACAAAGTGGTGTTCAGGTAAGAGTCTTGTTTTCGGGTAGGACTCTTGTTCCTGTTATTCGGGTAGCCCTTGGTGGCGCAGTGGATTAAACCGCTGAGCTGTTAACCTTGCTGACCTAAAGGTCGGCGGTTCAAATCTGGGGAGCGGGGTGAGCTCTCACTGTTAGCCCCAGCTTCTGCCAACATAGAAGTTTGAAAACACGCTCCGGCAGGAAGGTATGTCAGCAAAATTCGGCCTCAGTGCAACTGCAATGAGGCACGCAATGAAAACAGAGTGCACAGTCCTTTGTCAACTTCAAATCTTTGAAGTGGTACTTTATTTAGTTGCTTTCTAACAGCTACAAAAACAACAAACATAACTATGTACAAGAAGGAAGCACACACACGTCTTGCTCGTTCCCCGGCATGGCTGGAAGAGAACGCCCAGCAGTCCATTATCTCAAATCCACCTCATTGGAATGTGCGACATATACCAGAACTGTTCACAGTTCACGCTCTAGGCAATGAATCACATTTATGCCTTTAATCCTTGCATAGCATGCTGTCCTGCACCGGACACAGCAGTTTTAAAACCTATAAACTATATTTCACCCTAGTTAAACCATTATACTGATAGTGTAACGGTGCTCCATGCAGTCATGCTGGCCGCATGACCTTGGAGGTGTTTGTGGACACTGCCAGCTCTTTGGCATTTGAGTACCACCCCCCAGAGTGGAACACGACTAGACGTAATGTCAAGGGGAAATGTTTACTTTTACCTTTATCTTATTCCTGGTTCCAAACAAGTATGGATGCAGGTAGATTTTCACACCCATTTGAATGCACCTATATGCACTGCGAGCATGATTTTGTTATCCAGGAAATAAAATCCTATATATTTTTTGTCGTGTCAGGAGCGACTTGAGAAACTGCAAGTCGCTTCTGGTGTGAGAGAATTGGCCGTCTGCAAGGACGTTGCCCAGGGGATGCCCGATGATTTGATGTTTTTATCATCCTTGTGGGAGGCTTCTCTCATGTCCCCGTATGAGGAGCTGGAGCTGATAGAGGGAGCTCATCTGCCTCTCCCTGGATTCGAACCTGCGACCTGTCGGTCTTCAGTCCTGCCAGCACAGGGTTTAACCCACTGCGCCACCGGGGGCTCCAAAATCCTATATGAAAGGCTATTAATTGATCAATATTAGTCTTTATATATAAGAAAACCTTTGCTGTCTTTCCACCCTATATAAACTGAGCATAGAGAAATTTCCTTCCTAGGAAATATGTGTCAGAAGCCATTGCATGTTCTCTATTCTTTAGTAGGTTTCTACGAAGAGAGGCCTGCTCTACACTGCCATATAAAATCCACATTATCTGCTTTGAACTGGATTATATGGTAGTGTAGACTTATATGCAGCCCCCAGTGGTGCAGTGGGTTAAAGCGCTGGGCTGCTGAGCTTGTTGACCGAAAGGTCACAGGTTTGATTCCGGGGAGCGGTGTGAGCTTCTGCTGTCAGCCCTAGCTTCTGCCAAACTAGCAGTTCGAAAACATGCAAATGTGAGTAGATCAATAGGTACCGCTCTGGTGGGAAGGTAACAGCGCTCCATGCAGTCATGCTGGCCACACGACCTTGGAGGTGTCTATGGAGAAATGGAGATGAGCACCACACCCCAGAACCAGACATGACTGGACTTAATGTCAGGGGACAACCTTTACCTTTTTATAGACTCATATAATTCAGTTCAAAGCAGATAATGTGGATTATTTGCTTTGATAATCTGGATTATATTGCAGTGTAGAAGGGGCCAGAGACATCTGCATAAACAGATAATATAATGTAATAATATCATATATTGTAATATAATATAATAATAATATAATAATATAATATTATATATTGTAATATTATTTAATAATATAATGTAATAGTATAAAAGTAGTTACTTTTTGTCTTTCTTTAGCTGTAAGAATGCTGATGGCGTGGAGTTGTACAATGAGATTCATTTTTATGCCCGGGTGAATTCTAAGGTGAGCAAATCAAAGAAGAAGAAAAAAGAGAAGGCCAATTTTTGACAATTCCTCTCATTAAATCATTCATATGTATATGTACATGTATATGTATATGTACACACATTCCAGTTAGTATCAGTATCACCCATGTTTTCCCTCTTTATCTGATAACTTTGGTCCCTTCCACACAGCTGAATAAAATCCCACATTATCTGTTTGAACTGGAATATGTGGCCGTGTGGACTCCGATAACCCAGCTCAAAGCAGATATTGTGGGATTTTCTGCCTTGATATTCTGTTATATGGCTGTGTGGAAGGCCTTTTGACATTTATTTGATAAGCACCAGAAGGGTCATATACTGTATAATTGCTGAACACTACTGAAATGGAAAGTGTCTTAAACTTTTAAAATGATTTTATAAAGAAACTAGCCGTCCCCTGCCACACGTTGCTCTGGCCTAGTCTGTGTATATGTGTTTTGTGTGTGTATATATGTGTATATATTTGTGTATATGTGTTTATGCATAAGTACACGGGTAGTAATGCCGAAGCCCCCAGTGGCGCAGTGGGTTAAACTGCTAAGCTGTTAAACTTGCTGACCGAAAGGTTGCAGGTTCAAATCCGGGGAGTGGCATGAGCTCCCGCTGTTAGCCCCAGCTTCTGCCAACCTAGCAATTTGAAAACATGCAAGTGTGAGTAGATCAATAGATACCTCTCTGGCGGGAAGGCAATGGCACTCCATGCAGTCATGCAGGTCACATGACTTTGGAGGTGTCTGCGGACAACACTGGCTCTTGGGCTTAGAAATGGAGGTGAGCACCAACAAGCTCACCCACACCCCTGAGTCGGACGCGACTGGACTTAATGTCAAGGGGAACAATGTGGTTATGTGCATGCATTGTAGTATATTATTATTATTATTATTATTATTATTTTTCAGTGTCTTCTGCTGTGTTTTTCAGTGTTTTCATGAGCGATAGTCACTTGTTGGACTGATAGGTGTATTGTGTCCAAATTTGATGTCAATTCGCCTAGTGCTTTTTGAGTTATGTTAGCTATGTTGGCTATAAGTTGTCTTCAAATTATTTGAGAAATTGGGGTGTACATTTTAGAGATCTGCAACACATTCATGGCTGGAGAACTTTGTCAAAGAAAGCTCATTCTCTTAACCCATTCACTTGATATTTTTCTACAACAACACAATTCCTTTTAGGATTCCCAGAACAAGCGCTCAGGAAGATCAATCACTCTCTTTGTGCGTAAATGGAAGGACAAAGTGGGCTGGCCACGTCTGACTAAGGAGGATATCAAGGTAGGAGCCACTGCTTTCTCATGTCTTCTGCAGAAACAAGGTGGGGCTTCTTTGAGGGAAATGTCAACTGTTTGGTTCAAACTCGCCGTAGAACTAAAAAGGGACAACAGGAAAGGTGAATTACAGCTGCCACTTGTTAAAAAGTCTAATAAAAAAGAGATTCATCCCAAGACTTTAGGTCAGATTAGGTTAATCTGAACTCTCCCTAACCCTCTCGCAAATTGTCAGATGCGGCATTGCCGATAAAGAGCCAGATGAACCACTGGTGATTGTGGGAGGACATGAACTGATTTGGGGAAAGGCCATTCTCTTTCTAAATGCCATCGAGAAGAGTATTATGCCTCAGCATTTCTCATTTTCAACACCATTTGGTGCCATCATAATGATAACAACAACCAACAAATTAATTAAAACAAAACATTAAATAAACGGTTGTTAAAAATGCTAATTAAAATCCCGGTCCGTGTCAATTCATTATCACTTCAAAATTGCTTATGTCTTCATCATCATCATCATCTAATAACTTATTAATTGCTCTCCATCCGAGAATGCTCCAGGCGATTTACAGCTAAATTACAAAAGATAAAATACATACATACAAAAATTAAAAATCAACAGAGATCGTATCTATTCAATGGTCAAACGCAAGGTCCCACAGCCAAGCCTTGAGTTTCCTTCTAAAGGACAGGAGGGAGGTGGCCAGTCTGATGTCTTTGGGGAGGTAATTCCACAGACAGGGAGCCACTGTTGAGAAGGCCCTGTCTCTCATCTCCACCAATCGCGTTTGCGATGGCGGTGGGATCGAGAGCAGGGCCTCTCCAGATGATCTTAAACTTCGTGATGATTCATAGTAGGAGATATGTTCGAACATGTAGTCTGGGACAGAACCGTTTAGAACAGGGGTCCTCAAACTAAGGCCCGGGGGCTGGATATGGCCCTCCAAGGTCATTTACCCAGCCCTCACTCAGGGTCAACCTAAGTCTGAAATGACTTGAAAGCACACAACAACAACAACAATCCTATCTCATCAGCCAAAAGCAGGCCCACACTTCCCACTGAAATACTAATAAGTTTATATTTGTTAAAATTGTTCTTCATTTTAATTATTGTCTTGTTTTTAAGTGTTTTTTGCACTACAAATAAGATACGTGCAGTGTGCATAGGAATTCATTCATATTTTTTTTCAAATTATAATCCGGCCCTCCAACAGTTTGAGGGACTGTGACATGGCCCTCTGTTTAAAAAGTTTGAGGAACCCTGGTTTAGAGCTTTAAAGGTTAAAATTCGGACCATCAACATTAATAACCCCAAACCGGTCTCCTAAGGTAAATTGGTGTAACCAGGTGAGCGGGCCCTCTGGATTGAAGGTGGTGCTGCTGAACGCCAGATCTGTCAACGGAAAAACGACCTTTATCCAGGATTTAATCCTGGATGAGCGGGCAGATCTGGCGTGCATTACGGAGACCTGGTTGGATGAAGCTGGGGGTGAATCTGACCCAGCTTTGTCCTCCAGGTTTCTCCGTACAGCACCAACCGAGATCCGGAGGACGGGGAGGCGGGGTCGCAGTGGTCTATAGAGATTCCATCCATCTGACCAGGAGCCCCATCCCGCAGACCACAAATTTTGAATGCGTCCACCTGAGGGTGGGTGACCGGGACAGAATAGGGATTCTGCTAGTGTACCGTCCACCTCGCTGCACTACAGTCTCCCTACCTGAGCTAGCGGGGGTGGTCTCGAGCCTGGCGTTGGAGTCTCAACGGCTCCTTGTGCTGGGGGACTTCAACATCCATGCCGAGGCGACCCTCACAGGAGCGGCTCAGGACTTCATGTCTGCCCTGGCAACCATGGGGCTGTCCCAACAAA